TCTTTTCTCTCTAAAAAGCTAGAGTGCTATATGGAATGGAATGAAATTGTCAAGTGCACCTGAGGGTATCCGTAAGGGATAAAAGTAAGATTTAGATATGAAAATCTAAAAAAAAACAAAAAAAACAAAGTGCATATCATAAATTATTTTCATTTAGAATTAATTACTGAATTATTGGGACTGTTGTAATAGCATTTCTCTTCAGTATCATACAATTTTAAAACCAACCATAACCTGATTGACCTGTCTTTGGTTATATCAAACGCTATCCATATTAATAGTGTCCTTAGAATAAGATATTAGATAAGCATTTGGCGATAAACAATAAATCAAATTTCCTTTACAAATAAGATCAAGTCTAGTGAAACTTATAGCTAACATATATAGCACAAAATTCTGAAAAATGCGTGAAGTGGAAGTTCCTGATATTGATATCATAACTACATAAAAATATCTATAATATATATTTTGTAGTATAGTTATATTTGATTCTATATTTGCAGATTCTTTGTAGTATTTAAGAGAGAATTTTTGAAAAAAAAACAATGCCTAAGATCTGTTATAATATACTGGACTTATACATATATTTCCATAACAAAAGGAATTAAGTTTTGAAGTCACTGCAGTCCTTTTTATTTGTCGAGACATATTTTTTTTAACTTTTATATTTTAAAGGTAAAAAAGAAATAAATTATCGCCAAAGATATGAATCAAATTTACATTATGTATAAATTTTCATGACTCATGAATTTCGTAATTTAGTTTTAATAAGCAACTGTATTTATAGTTCTTGAAAATATAACCAACAGTTGCTATTAAAAAGACATCTCACAATAGTTTTCATACTTTTAAAGAAATCCAACTCTATATTAAATAATTTAATCGTATGAAAATTTCATCAAAAAATTTTTGATATTGGCTTGAAGGATTTGGCACAATTCTAAATCCATATACCACTTAATGTAGTCTTCGTCTCTTCTAATCAATCACTTGATTTCAATATTAAGTATGAAAACGGCGACATACTTTTAGATAATTTTTAAAGACACTCTGTGATTTTCATTATATATTTTAAACCTATGAATATTTAACCAAAAATGTTTACTATAATATCACATATCAGGCCATTTATAAAATTAGTAATTGATTTCTATTTTAAGGAAAAAGATCTTATAGTCACTATAAAAAATTAAGAGTTTAAATAGTTTAATTAATAATTTGGTGTAACAAACTTACCTCAGCCATTTTTGGTATGTCATCTATAAACGTTATAAACATCGACCAATGTCCATATAAGGATAAAGTGCTACTTATTAGCAACAAAATATTTACACTAGTTTAAAGAAAAGTTATTTAATAAGTAATAGTATTAAAAAATATGCACACAAACATTCTTAACATTTCCTTAAGAAAAGTCGGTTTTGTCAAATTGACTCCGATAGCATAGGAAATCCTATATAATTCTCGAATTTTGTAAGCATTTTGCTTCTCTAATAAATCTGATTCCTCCTCAGTTAACATATCTAAGAAGGTGCGCCAACTTAGAACAGCAATTAGTGACTCATTAAAAGCGACTAAAATACTATTAATTAATAGATTTCAAGTGAAGGCGGTCACAATGTCATAATCGTTAAAAAATTATGAAATTCACTTAACCCTTCGTGGGAAAACCTATAATTAATATATTTACACCCATAGGTGCGTGCATCATAAATTATGAACAATTCTAAATGAAACATACACAGTATATATTTTTTTTGAATTACAATGAAAAGAAATTTAATTCATTTTCAATATTAAAAATGTAATTTCATGGTTTTATTAAAAAATTTCTATTTAAGAAGTTCAAGTTTTTCAATGAGGATATAAAATGATTTTGATGATATAAAGACAATATATTTCAGTTTTAGTTATATCTGCAATTACATTAAAAATTTTTGCTAATATGTGTTTATTATGTTCAATTTACGACTAAAGAGAAATATGTTTGAGTTTATAGGTAGAAAAAATTGCATTCGCATTGATTAAGATACATAACTTCACATACAATAAAGTTTTCAAAAAAATCATGAGACCTGGAAAATCTGTCGATAAATAAAAACAATAAGTGAAATAAGTAATGGATCACGATACACCTTTTTTTTATTATTTATTAATTATTATTATTGCCTGACCACACAGCTGTTTCGAGTATTGCTAAATACCCATCATCAGTGGGTTTTTGGAAATATGTCTTGTACTTAATTATTCGTAAATAATTTTGTCATACTGCAAGCTCAAAGTTTAAACTCATAATTCTCATGGTAATTATATATAAATCTAAACCGATATTTAAAAAATTTTGTACAATCCCATATTTAATTATTAATACATTATCTACTAAATTTTAAATATATCTCTATTTAATATGAACAAAATACATATTCGAGTATCGTATCTCAGCTATTTGAGTATCGTATTTATTAACTTTGGACTAAAAGTACTGCCAACCAAACTTTTCTACGGTCCAAGCATGGAGCTTTATGTGAAGGTTTGTAAATATTTATATAATTGATATCTGCTATCATAGTCCTTACACTTTACTGTCTATCGCTTCGAAAAGATTCGGTTTTTTCTGCTGGCAGTCCTCAAACTTTCGACTCTTTGAAAACGAATATTTATCAAGTTATTTCAGAGCTATTTTCATATTTATCATGACAAATCGAAAACTATCTGAAAAATATACAGCGCTGTACAATGTTCTACAGAGGATGATTGAATAACATTTAATATTGCATTTCAAATCAAATGGCAGGATCCAAATAATATACTAAAATAAAAATTTGGTAAAAATTTCATTTAAAAGTGCGTTTTATTTACATTTCACTAATATTTATATTTCTAATCAGAAAATAGATGACCCTATAATGTGATGACAACATAAAACTCAGAAACAAAATCATTGCCTTACCACTAATATTCTCTGATACTGCACCAGTGGACTACGCACTACAAAGATCGTTGATATCGTGATCTATACGTTTTATAGTAACATTGGTTATTATTGGTTATTATTATTTTATAGTAACATTGGTTATTATCATAATAATCTTCTTTACCTTTCAAAGGCAGGTCCTGCCAAAGTTTTTCATTAAAATTATTTAATTAATGATGAATCAGTTATACTAATCAGGATACGGCACAATTCTAACTGATTTACTGAACCACTTATATTATATATTTATAAACCACTGTAGTATTATAGTACGTTTTTAAATATATACTAATCTCTACTCCGATACAACTGAAAAAATAAGATATATAGTAGCTTTGGGTGTGATCTTGAAAATCTGACAAAATGTGATATTTTTTTTTTTGTATACCGTACCCTTGCTGTTAATGTCGTTATCATTCACGTTACCGTTATCTGCGACAGTAATAATTCTTAAGACTTTTTGACTGGAAACGTTATGGTATACTCACATTAAAATTTGTTGAAGTTGCAAAATGTTTAATATAAAAAGTTC